GTAGTACTACTACTAGTAGTAGTACTAGTACTACTAGTACTAATACCTCACTACACTAGTACCTGATACGACAACGACCCCTTCAGCAATAGTAACAGTAACAGCTGACACATACACATAGTATACACACGTGGAACGTAAAGTTTGTAAATCACCAGCGCGGACAAGTCTCGACACGTTATATGTCGTTAACGCCAAGGCCGTTGCTATAGTATTGCATTGGTAAATAACAACAGACAACAACTGAATCGTGACGTGTCGAGAACGCCAACGGCCGGCGCAGAGACCAAGTAAGATTTCATTTCGCGGTATATATAAATACTTATATGCAGTATATACGCAGTAGCTACTATGCGCTAACCGAAAACCCAAGTCATAATGCGTGAGACCTTACATAATAATATCAGGAGTAAGATAATATAGACTCTTACTCCTGATAATATGACAGAAAATCAAAATAATCTCCTGCGGGTCACCATGTTGGTGAAAAGGAAAGTATGCGACCGCAGCACTCACCAATGTTAAACTTCGTTTAGTAGTAATATATACAATATCGCACGGTAAATCAGCGTTTATATATCATTACTAAATATCAGTTTTATTTAACATTTTATTCAATTGAAAAATCAAGAAATAGTTACCGGAACTTTGTTTTTCCGTTCGTCATGTTGTATTAACCAACAGGCGGGGTACTTCCGGTTGGTTTGCAACCATGGCCAAAACTTATGATTTCTTATTTAAATTGTTACTTATCGGTGACTCTGGTGTTGGAAAGACATGCGTTTTGTTTAGATTCTCCGAAGATGCATTCAACTCAACATTTATATCAACAATAGGCAAGTTATCGTAAAGTATTGTTAAACTAAGTTAAAGTAACTTTATTATTAATCAATCATCAAATTGTTGATCAATGTTGAATGTGAGTTTGTGACAATGTCAATGACATCTAATCCATATTCGCGTTTAGCTCTAGACTCTAGTACATAGCCCACGTACATTTGCCGCAGGGCTATAGTACCCGGTACATTCTATTACGAATGCTCGGGACCAACGCAAAAGGTTGAAAGCGTGTTTCGTCGCTCAATGACGTCACAGTGTCGACTGTACAAAATTTTTTTTAAATATTTTTTTTTAAAGGGTTATGGTTAGGGTTAAGGTTAGGGTCACAATGCACCTTAAAACAGGAGTTTGAGTCTGTACGGACGTGACGATACTGGGACGTCATTGGGCGACGAAACAAGCTTTCAACCTCTTGCGGGGCCAACTTACTCCAGCCAGTCAGCGGGAACTATGTATTTCCGCACGTGGAGGGGTGGGCGGGTTGTGTTGGTTGTGGACAAAAACGTTGTTGTTGTCAAGTAACAATCTTTTTTTGATTGCTTAATTTGTTACTTGACAACAACAATGGTTTTGTCCACATTCAACCAACAAAACCCCGTTGAAATAGTTATTTAATTTAGAATTTATTGCTTATTTCATTTAACTTTTACGCAGTGGCTATGCGTCCGGAACCGGTCGCCTAGCCTTCAGGCTACACATCTGCACATCCACACAGTGATCGCGCGACTCGCGTACACGCATGATTGCGCAACGGGACAATTCTGTTGATTGTCGAAAATATACAATATATGCACTGCTGCCGTCTATCCTTTCATCCGTCCTCTCTCGCTCTCTCTCTCTCTCTCTCTCTCTCTCTCTCTCTCTCTCTCTCTCTCTCTCTCTCTCTCTCTC